TGTTTTGCCATCACCCCCCTGTCCTCCCCCCTCTCATCCCTCCCCCCACCTTGGTAGGTGGTGGGGTATGTGTGTGGTTGAAGGAAAAAAAAACAAAAATACCAAAACAAACTACAACATCTAAGTACCACCGAAACGAAACAGCAGATCCCCCACCACGAACACCCCAAAACTCCCCCCTTACCACCCCACTCCCCCACCCCCTCCACCGCCCACACACCCCCCCTCCACGCCCGCACCACCCCCAAAACCCGCCCCTCACATTACCAGCTCACCCCCCCCCCCCCTTCCCACCCGCCCCCCCCTCCCTCACCCCCCCATCCCCCCCCCCCCCCTCCCCCCCGCTCCCCATCCCGCACCCCTCAGCTCCCACTTTTGCCACCCCACACCACGCCTCCCCCCCCCAGACCCTCCCCCCCCCGCCCCCTCATTGCCCCCCCTCGACCCCCCCCCCCGCGGTCCCCCTAAACCCACCACCCCCCCCCCCCCCCCTCCTTTCCTGCTCACCCCGCCCCCTCCGACCCTCCCCCCCACCCCCTTCCCCCCGCCGACACTCCCCCCCTCGCATCTCACCCCTCCCCCCACTCTACTCCCTCCGCCCCTATCCCTCCCCCTACCGTGATTTGGGTCCCCCCCCCCCCCCCCACCCTCCCCCTCCCCCCCCCCACCGTCCCTTCCCCACGTTGTCCCCATCCCCTCCCCCCGACCCCCCCCCCTCCCCCCCTCGCCTACCTTCTCGACCCCCCCCACCCCGTCGCGCAGTCACCCCCCTCCCCTCTCGCCCCCCCCCATCCCAACCGCCCCCCTTTACCCTTCCCCCACCCCACCTCCCCGTCCGACCCTCCCCCCCCGGACCGCATCCCATCCGCCTTCCGTGCCCAGTCTCCCCCCTGGCACCGCCCCCCCCCCACCTCATCCCCATCCGCCCCGGCCCCTCCCCCTCGCCCCCTCACCCCCCTGCTCCGCACCCCCCCCCCCGCACCTATCCCCTCGACGCGGCACCCCTGCCGCCTACCACCCCAGCCCCTCACCCCCCCCCCCCGGACCCCGCCCGCCCCCCCACCCTCCCCCCCCCTCCCCTCCCCCACCCCACACACCGGCCATTGCGGGGCCCCCCCTCCCTGCCCCCCCCACCTCTCTCCCGAAACTCCCCCCCTGCCCTGGCCCCCCCCACCCTCCCACCTCCCCCCTCATACCCCCCCCCCCCCCCACACACCCCCCCGCCCGAACTCCGCGCCTTCCCACCCTCCCTCCCCCCCCCCCCCGTCCCCCCCCCCTCGCCCCCGACCTCCCCCCCCATACCCCCACAATCCCCCCCGCGCCCTTCTTTTCCCCCAACAGTTGCTTCCCACCCCCCCCCCGCTCCCTGCCCCGCCCCCCCCACCTCACCTCTGCTACCACCGCCCCCGCCCCCCCTACGCTCCCGCACTACGAATCCCCGTCCTTCCCCCCCCCCCCGTCCCCCCCCCCGCCCGATCCGCCCCTCCCCTCTCCCCCCTCCACCCCTTCTCCCCCACCCCATTCTCCCCGGCCCCCTCCCCGCAGGCCCCAGCTCGTCCCCCCCTCATCCCCCCACGCGTCCCCCCCCCTCCCCTCCCACCCACCTCCCCCCCCCTCCCCCCCCATGCCCGCCCCGCCCCCCCGCCACCCCCGCCCTCATCCCCCCACCCCCCCATCCCCCCCCGTACCCCCCCCCCCCCCCCCCCCCCCCCGCGCCCCCGCCATCCACCGAAGCCACCCCCCCCCCCCCCCCACCCCTTTCCAACCTCCCTTCCCCCCTTTCCCCACGATAGCATCCCCGCCCCCCCCCCCGCCGCCCCCCCCGTCCCCTCCCCCTCCCCCTTCACCCAGCTTTCCCCCCCCGGACACCCCCCTTCTCCGCTACCCACCCCACCGCCTCTCCCCCCAGGCAGCATTCCCCCCGGTCTCCCCCCGCCCACCAACCCACCGACGACCCCCCTCCCACCCCCGACGCTCCTCCCCCCCCCCGCCCCCTCCGCCTATACAGTCGCCCCCCCCCCCCGGGGCTCCCCGGACCCCCCACTCTCTCCCCCCCATTCCCCCCCCCCCCCCCTCCCCTTGCTCTCTTCGCACCCCCCACTCCCTCCCCCCCACCCGCGCCCCCTCCTCCGCCCCCCCACCCACCCCCCCCCCTCGCCCCTACACCTCGTCCCTCCTCCCCCCCACCCAACCGCCCCCCTGCCCTTCCCCTCCCCCCCCCCGACCCCACCCCGCCCCCACTCGCCCCCGCACCCCCCACCCTGCCCCCCCCCCTCCACCCCGTCCCGCCTCCCTCTCCTCCGCCCCCCCGCTCCTCCCGCCCTCCCCCCCCCCCCCTCCCACCCCCCTACCGTCCCGACTGCGCGCCCGGCCCCCCCCCCCTTCCCCACCCTCCCCCCACCCTCCTCCTTCCGCCGTCCGCTCCTGTCCCGCTCCTCCCCCCCGCCCAACAGCTCCTCCCAACCACCTCGCCGACCCTCCCCCCCCGCCCTCCCAGCCTTCCCCCCCCACCCCCACCCCCCCTCATACTCGACCTCCCCCCCCCCGCCCCCCCCCCCCCCCCCCCCGTATTCAATCCCCAGCCGCAAACCCCGCGACTACGCCCCCCCCCCCTCCGCCCCCCCCCCCTCACCGCCAGCCGCCCTCCCCCCCACACCCCACCCCGCCCCCCCTGCCCCCACCCACCCCCCCCAAGCTACAGAACCCCAGTTTCATCCCCCGCCACCCCGCCTACCCTCCCCCATCCCCCCCCCCGTCCCCCACTCCCCGCCCCCCTCTGCACCACCCGCCCCGCCCCACCGCTCCCCATTCTCCCCCCGCCCTCGCAACCCGCCGCCAGCACCCCACAGCCTACCCCCGGACCTCCTTAGCCCCCCCCCCAACTGCCCCAGCACCTAACCCCCTCCCCGCGGCTTGCCCCCCCCAACCCCCCCATACCACACATCCCCCCCCCAACCCCCCTGACCCCATGGTCACCCCCCGCCCGGGCGCCCCCTCCCCCCCCCCTCGCACTTCCACCCCCCGCCGCCCCCCCGCCTCCCACACCTCCCTTCCGCCCCCCCCCACCCCCCTCCCCAGCTCCCCCCCCCTGCCCGCCCCGCCCCCCCCCCCCCCCCGCCTCCACTGCCAAGTCCCCCCCCCCCTCCCCCAGATCCAGCTCCGTCCGGTCTCCCCACGCCACCCCCCCCCCCCCCGGCCCCCCCCCCAACCTTCCCGCTGCCCCTCCACCGCCCCTCTACCCCCCCCCCCTCCGCCCCCCCCCCCACATCCCCCCGCCCCCCCCCCTCTAGCTCCCAGCCCCCCACCCACGCGCCCCCCTCCACCTCAGACTTCCCCCTCCACTTTCAATCCCCCCCTGCCCCAAACACTCCCCCACCGACCGACTCAACTCCCCGCCCCCCTACACTCACCCCCGGCCCCCCCCACCCCGCCCCGCCCCGCCTCCCCCCCCCCCCCCCGGCCCCCCACCCCCGCCCTGTCTCGCGCCTCGCTCCCCCCCGCCCCCCCCCTAGCCCACCCACCCCCGCCCTCCCCCCCCCCCACCCCCCCCCTTCCCCCCCCCCCCTCGTCCCCCCCTCTCCCGCCGTCCCCCCTCCCCCCCCCCTCCCCCCCCCCCACCCCCCCTCAACCCCCCCGGCCACCCTTCACCACCCACCGCTCGCCCCCCCCCATCCCGCCCTCCTCCCATCTTCCGTCAACCTGCCCCCCCCTCCCCCACACTACCCCCCCCCCCCCCCCGCCCTGCGGTGCCCACTCCCGCCCCTTCTCCCCATCCGCTCCTCCCCGCCTTCTCCCCCACCCCCCCCTCCCCGTCCGATTCTTCTTCTCCATCCCCGCCCGAGCTCCCCCCTCGACCCCCCTCCAGCCCTTCCTCTCGATCCCCGCCGTGCCCGCCCCCCTCCTGCCGCCGCCACCCCCCCCCAGCCCCAAGGCCCCTCCGCCCGCCCCCCCCCTCCCCACCCCGCCCCCCCGCCCCCTACTCCCTCGTCGCGCTATTCCCCCCTACTACCTCCTTCATGGCGCAAGCACACGCCCCACAACGAACGAAAACCCCCACAGCACAATGCCAAACCCAACACCCCCACCCTCGAGACCTCGACCTTCCACTCCAACGCGACCACCACCACCAACCTACCACCCCCACCTCCCACCCCTACCCAAACTCCCCCCCACCACCCGCCCACACACACACCCCGCGGATCAACTCCACCCCCCCCCCCCACAACCCGTCCACAGCAGTAACAGACCCACATCAACACCGCAACCCAGCCACCGACCGCAAACAACAAGCCACCCCAACTAGCCACCAAACAAAAATACAACACATACACCCCCCGCCCAACAACGACTACACACACCCCCACAAGCTCAATCCCACACCCCCGACGACCGGCTCAACCCACCCACTCACAAAAAAAAACAAAGGGCAACATAGGGTGGGTATGAGGGGGGGGGGGGGGGGGGGGTGTTGTTGGGGGGGGGGGGGGTGTGGGGTGGGGGGAGGGGGGAAAAAAAAAATTTTTGTGTTGTGTGTTGTGTGTTGTGTTTTATTGGTGTTGTGGTGGGGGGGGGGGGGGGGGGGGGGGGGGGGGGGGGTTGTTTTGTTGGTGTGTGTGGTGTGTGTGTTTTATTATAATTTGTTTGTAAATTTTCTTTTTTATTTTATAATTTGATCAGAACAAATAACAAATAAAGAAAAAGAAAAAAAAAAAAAAAAAAAAACAACACCAGAAACTAAAACGCCAAAAAAAAACAACGAAAAAGGTGCAAGCCACGACCCCTAATAAAAACGTGCCCACAGCCAAAAACAGCCATAAAAACAGACCAGAGACCACCTCCACATCAACACTCAACGCACACCCAAGTCCACACAACCATGACCCCCCCAACCAAAACCAAACAAGCAAACAAACACAGAAAAACAAACCACCAAACCACCGCAAGTCGCAAGCAAGGGCGAAACACACGAGGCGAACAAGCAAGAAGCACAACAAGCCTAACTACACACCACCCCCGCGCCAACTCGCCACACACCACAACCCCCCCCTCCGAGACAGCGCCCGCCACACCCCCCCCGACCCTGACCAAGGACCCTCGAGGCCACACACCAACCGACGCCCCGACCACCACGTCCCCGCACAACACAACCGCGCCGCCAACACTCCCGCCCGCGTCCCGCCCGCTCCCCCTGCGCACCACCCCTCTCCCACACGCCCGCCCCCTGGCACCCCCCCGCCTGCCAGCCCCCCCCCCACACCCCACCCCCCCTCCCCTCCCTCCTTACCGTCACCGAACCCACCTCCCCCCGCTCTCCCCCCCACCCCCCCCTCACCGCCCCAGCAACCTCCTCCCACTTCCATCCCCCCCCCCCCCTTCCCCCCCCATCCCCCCCCCACCCCCCCCCCCATCCCCCCGCCGCCCCTCCCCCTGCCCCTCTACCCCCCCCCCTCCGCCCCCCCCCGCCACCCCCCGCCCCACGCCCCCCTCCCCCCCCCCCGCCTGCCCGACCCCCTCATCCCCTCTCCCCCTCTCCCCCCCCCTTCACTTTCCTCCCTCTCCCTCGCCCACCTGGCGATCCAACCGCTGTCGTCCCCCCCCGCGCACCATGCGCTCACCCGCCCCCCCCCACAGCTCCTCACCCCCCCCCCCCCCCGCTCCTCTCCACCCCCCCCCCTCCCCTCCCTCACCGCCGCCACCACCTCCCGCGCGCCATCCCCCCCCCTCCCCCCCCCGCCCTCCCCCCCACCCCCCCCCCGGGCTCCCCCTCCCCCCGCCCCACCCTAGCTCTACGCTCCACCGGCCCTCCCCTCCCCCCGCCCCCCCCCCGGCTACCCCCCCCCCTCTTCCCCCCCCCTCCCCCCTGCCCCTCCCCACCCCCAGTCGTCCCCCCTACCATCCCCTCCCCCCCCCCCCCAGCCGCCTCAATTCGACCCGCTCCCTCACCCCCTGCCCCCCTCCCCCCCCTCCCCCCCCCCTCCCCCTACCCCGCCCCCCCCCCCAGCCCCCCCACCCACTCACCCTTCACCATGCTCGGCTGCCCCCCGCCTCTCCTCCCCCCCCCCCTGCCCCCCCCCCTTCCCATCCCGCCCCAAACCCTGCCGCACAAACCACATGCCCTCTCCCCCCCCCCTTCTCCCCTCCCCCCACCCCCAGTCCCCCCCCAGCACCTGACCCTTCCCCCCACCCCCTAACCACCCGCTCGCCACCCCCGTCTCGCTCCTTTTAATCGCCCCCACCCCGCCTCCCCTCCCCCTCTTTATTCCCCCCACGCTCCCCGGGGCCCCCCCCCTCCCCCCCCCCCCCAGTTCCTCCCGCCCGCGCCACCCACCCCCCTACTCCCCCCCTCCTCACCCCCCCCCCTCCTACGCCGTCCCTCTGCCCCTCCCTCCCTCCGTTCCCCCCCTCCCCACCCTCCCCCCCCCCCGCCCCCCCCCTCCCACCCCACCCCCCCCCCCTTATGCCCCACCCTGAGCACCCTGCCCTCCCTTCCCCCCACCTGCTCAGTCCACCCCGACATGTATCTCCGTCCCGTCCCCTTGCCCCCCCCTCCTCCACGCCCGCCAGCCCCCTCTCCCGCCCCTCGCGTCGCCCCCTCCCCCCTCCCCCCAGGCTCGCGCCTTCGCCTCTGACGCCTCCCCCTCTGCCCTCCCCGTCCCCCATCAATGCCGCTCTGCGGACCCTCATGCCCCCCCACCTTCCCCCTCCTCCCGCCCCTGTACCCCCCCTAAACCCCACCCCCCCCCCCGACCCCCCCCCCCCTTCCCGCATCCGCCGCGGCCCCCCCCCCCCCCGCCCTCTCCACCCGCCCCCCTCCCTCCCCCCGACCCCAACCCTCCCTCGAGCCTCGCCCCCCCCCCGCGCTCTCCTCTCCCCTGCTCCCGGCCCCCCCCCCCTTCCCCCAAGCCCACCCCTCCCCGCCCCCCCGCCCTTCCCCCCTACCCCCCCCCTCCGCTACCCCCGGCCTCACTCACCCCCCTCCCCCACGCCTTCCCCCTCCTCCCACCCCGCCCCCCGCGTATCCCCCGGCCCCCCCCCCTAGTCATCCCTCCGCCTCCCCGGCCTCCCCCCCCGCCCTCCGCCCCTTGTCACCTAACTGTTCCCGCCACCCCTGCTCTCCCCCCCCCTCCCCCCCCCCCCCCCCCCCACTACTCCTCCTCCCTCCCTCCCTCCCCCACCCCCCTCCACTCCCAACGTTCCCGCCCCCCCTGCCGCGGACCCTCCCCCCCCGCCCGCTTCTGCCCCCCCGCCCCCACGCCCCCCCCCACCCCATCCCTCCCCCCCTCCCCCCCCGCCCCCCACCTCACCCCCCCCCCCCCCCTACGCCTCCCCCCATCCCCCCCCCCCCTCCTCAGTCCAACACGCTCCCCCCCCCACCCCCCCCTAGCCCCCTCCCCACGTCCCCAGCCCCCGCAACCCCCCCACCGTCCCCCCCCCCTCGCACCCCCCTCACCAACCGCCCCCCCTCCCCACTTCCGCCCTCGCCCCCACTCCTCCCCCCACCCCCCACGCCCCCCCCCCCTGTGCCTCCCCTCCATCCCCCCCCCCCCCCCCCCTCCCCCCCCCCCCCGCTCCACCCTTGTGCCACCCCCCCCTACCACCCCACACCCCCCCTACCCCCCCCTCTCCCCCCCTCCCCCCCCCCCCCAGCCTCCCTCCAGCCCCACCCGGACCCCCCCCCGCCCGATCCCCGCTGTCTCCTTCCGGCCCGGGCCCCTCCCTCCTGCGTGCTCCCCCCCCCCCCCCTCCCCCCCCGGTCATTTCCGGCACCCCCCCCCCGCCCCTTTGTTCCCGCCTCCTCCCCACTTTTCTTCCCCCATCCCCCCCCCCCCCCCCCCCCCTTTTCCGTACCCCTACCTTTCACCCCCCCACCACCTCCCCACCCGCACTTTCCCCACCCCCACCCACACTCTGCCAACCTCCGTGTTGGGGGACCCCCCCCTCGACCCCCCCGCTCACACATGCCCCCCCTAATCCTCTCAACCACCCCCCCCCCCTCCACCGACCCTCCCTCTACCTGACTCCCCACTCCACTTCCACCCGGTCTCCCCTCCCACCCCCACCCCCCTGCCCCCCCCCCCCCCCCCCACCCCCGCCCTAGCTCCCCCCCCCACTCCTCCCCCCCCCAACGGACGTATCCCCCCTGCCCCGCCCCTCCCACCCTCACCCACCCATTCCCCCCGCCGGTTTGGGGGGGACACCATCCCTACCACGCCCCCCTGCGCCCCTGCGACGCCCTCCCCCGCCCGCACCCCGTCTCCCCGGTCCCCCACCCCGGCCCCCCCCCACCCTCCCCCCCACCCCCTCCCCCTTCCCACGCCCACCCCCCCCCGCCGCGGCTGCTTCTCCCCCCTCTCTAATCCCCCACCCCCAGCTCCCACCTCCCCGAGCCCGCCCCCAACCTCCCACCCCCCAGGCCTATCCCCGTCCACTCCCCCGATCCCTCCACCCTCGCGACCCCTCCCCTCCCCCGATCCCCCCCCCGTCACTCCCCACCCCGCCCCCCCCCCCCCCCTCTTCCTCCCCCCCCCCCCTCCGCCCTGTCCCCCACCACCCTTCAGGCTGACAACCACCCAGCCCCCCCCATTCTCCCCGCACCGCCTCCCTCCCCCTACCCCTCTCCCCCCCCCCCCCGCCCCTATTGCCCCCCCCCGACACCCCCCTCCCTTCCCCCATATCCCCCATACTCCCACGCCCACTTCCCCCTCCCCCCCGCCCTCCCCCCCGCTTCCCCTCTCGCCCCGCCCCCGTTACCCCCTCACGCCCCCCCCGCACCCAGCCCCCCCCGCCCCCCCCACCCCCCCTCCCTAGTTCCCCCCCCGCCCACGCCCCGGCCCGCCCTTCTCACCTTCCGCACCCCTGCCCGCCCCACCGCCCCCCCAGATCCCCCGACGAGCCCCCCCCCCGCAATGCCCCCCCAACACGCCTCCCCCAGACCCCCCGCGCTCCTCCCCGGGTGGCCCACCACACACGCCCCCAGGCGGGCGCCCCCTTAGGCGAGCGGCCCCCCTGCCCGCGCTTGCTGCCCCGCCCCCGCCTCCCCCCCCCGCCCCCCCCCCTCCCACCGAGCGCCCTCCTCCCTCCCCTCCCCACCCCCCCCCCCCTACCCCCCTCAATCAACCCCCGTGGGGTTGGGTGGTCCCCCCCCCCCCCCTCCCCTTCACACCACCCAACACCCCCCACCCCCCTGGCTCTCCCCCCCCGCCTCCTCCCCCCCCCCCCCCCCAGCCCCCCCCGCCCCGGCACCCGCTTATTACCCTGCCCGCCCCCCGCCCCGCCCCCCCCGGCCCCCCCCCACACCCTCCCCCCCCGCCCCCCCCTTCCCCCGCGCCCCCCCCCTCCCCCCCGCGCCCCCTCCCCCCTCGCTTCCCCTCCCCCCCCGCACCCCGGCCTCTCCGCCAGCTCAACATTCCACCCCCCCCTGCCCTGGACCTCCTACCACCCCCCCCCCCCCCCCCCCGCGCCCCCCCCCTCCCCTATCCTTTACCCCGCCCTCCCGCCCCTCCCCCCCCCCCCTTCTCCCCTGCCACGCCCCCCACTGCCCCCTGCTGCCCCCACCGCTGTCAAAGCCGATCCCCCCCCCTTGCCCCCAATCCCACCACACTCCCGCCGGGCTCGTCACCCCGACCTGGCTCGCCTCCGCACCTCCCCCCCACCCCCCCGCCCTCCCCCCCCCCCCCCCCCCCCCCCCCGCTCCCACTGTTCTACCCCCACCCCCCCCCTCGCCCCCGGCCCGGCCAGTCCCCCACCTCCTCTCCGCCTCCTAGCCGCCACCCCCCTCCCCCCCCACCCCCCCCCTGTCTGCCCCCCTCCCCGCCGCCCCCCCTCCCCCGACCCTCCCCCCCCCCCCCCACTCCCCCCCCCCCCCGGCCGGCCCCTCCCTCCCCACCTCTCTCCATTCCTCCTCCCTCTCCCCCCGTCCCCCCCCCCCACCCTTCCCGTCTCCCCCCCTCCCCCCCTGTCCCCCCCCCCTCTCCCCACCCCCTTGGGGGTGGTACCTCCCCCCTCCTCGCCCTCCCCCCCCGCCGCTTACGCCTTAGCCCCCCGCCCCCTCCCCCAAACCCCTCCGTCCCCCTCCCCACCCCCCACCCCCACCCCGTACTCCCCCACCCCCCCCCCCCCCCACCCCCCCCTGTCACCCCCCACCCCCCCTGCCCCCCCCCCCCCCCCTCAGACCGCCCCCCCGCCCCTCCCTGCCCCCCGCACCCCCCCCCAGCGCTCCCCCCCGACCCCTCACCCCCCCCCCTCCCCCCCACCCTCCCTCCCCCCCCCCAACCCCCCCCGCTCCGCCCCTCCTGCCCCGCCACCCAGCCCAATCCTCCCCCCCCTCGTGCGCCTCTCATCCCCTCCCCCCATCCACTGCTCATCCCCCCACGCTCTCGCCCCCCCCCCCCCTCCCACTCGCTATCCCCCCCCACTTTCCCGACCTTCCATCCCTACCGGCGCGCCTGCCCCCTCCCCCCGCCCCCAAACCCTCCCCCCACTCCGCACCCCCCCCTCCTCCGCCTGGCCCCCCCTACGACACCGTTCCTCCTCCCCCCCCCGGCCCCCCCCCCCCCCCCCCCTCCCACCACCCCCCCACCCTTTACTCCAGTGCCCCTGGCGACCACCCCCTGCCACCGCCCTCCCCCCTTTATCAATTTCCCCTCCACCAGCCCCGCGTCACCTTCGCCGCCCACCCCCCACTCCGCCCCCCCCCCATCGTGCCCCCCCCCCCGCCCCACCCCTCCCCCTCTCTCCCCTCCCCCTCCCTTCACCGCCCGTTCCCACCACCCCCACCCCTCACTCACCCCTCCCCCCGCCCCCCCTCGGAACGAAACCCCACCCCCCACCCCCCTCATCCCCCCCCGTTCCCCCCTCTGCCCCCCCGCCCCCCTCCCTGCCCCCCGCCCCTCTACTCCCCCCCCCCCCCCCCCCCCCCCCTCCCCCTTCCCACCCCCCCCTGTGTTCCGGCCCCCCCCGCCCCCCCCCTCGCCTCACCCAGTATTCCCTCTACACCCCCCCCTCTCCTACGCGCTCCTCTCGCCGCCCAGACTCCGTCACCCCCTCCGCCCCCTGTGGCCGCTTCTTCCCCTCCCCGTCCTCCCACCCCGAGCCCACCCCCACCCCCCCGTTTCGCCCATCCCGTCTTCCCCCTGAACACCCACCCCACCCCCCAACGTCCCGTCCACCACCCCGCGCCCCTCCCTCCCCCCCTCCGCCTCCACCCCCCGCAGTTCCCCACCCGCCCTTCCCCCCACCTGCTACCCCATCCCCGTCCCTACCTACCCACCCCCCCTCCCCCCCCTCCTCTCGCCCCCCCCCCCCCCCCCACCTTCCCCCCCTCCCCCCGCCACTCCCCAAGTCCCTCCGCCCCTCTCCTGCACCCCCAATCGCTACCCTTCATCTCCCACTCACCCCCTCCCCCCCTCATTAACGCGTTACAAAATGTCCTCCAATTGGATATATGTTAGAACATTTACAACCTAGTATGCGCAGGCTGCGCTTCACCCCTGAGACACCTTTTATTGGCCGAATTAAGACACAACATAAATATTGCTCTCCGTTTGCCCACCAAACAGTCCTGCTATTGCAAAAACACATTAATACATGATATTATCCCACCTCTAGGGTCTCGGTCGTTAAATACAATGTGAATTAAATCGAAATTGACACATAGCCGCGCCCCAACCGACTATTCAACATTTTAGAAGGGCATTTTTCACATTTAGTTTTTCAAACTGTTTGCAAATTGCACATCACCTCTTTTTTGCCTCTGATTCAAAACAGTCAAATGTTCAAGGTCTTAGTTTTTTACCCTGTTTGCCGTGGCACGAGAAACGCTCCCCATTCTTAGCACATGTACACCTCACACAAGACATTCAAACCAGCCTCGGCTGTTTCACCGATTCGCCTCAAAATCGTCCACATCATCTCACACCATGTACTTCACAATGTACTTCAGGTAATTTGATCCGTGAAACGCTGTTTTGAGGCAAAAAAAGCCCCCGAGCGGCAAATGTAAGGGTTTTTTTGGCTCTTTTGACAACATTAATATTTGCTCCTGTTTTGCACAAACAAAGTCTGATTTGCACAAAACTTTCCATCCATTGTCAACTTCCAGGGTTTAGTCAGGTTAAAGTGAAATATTGGAAATCGTCCCCTTACGCCCCCTACAGACTGTTCACAGTTTACATGGGGAGCCAAACCAGCCTCTACTTCTTCATATCCATTAATTTGCCTAACCATTCTTTCTATGGCAACGGAAACACAATCATCACAAACGGCGTGCTACCTCCTTTTTAGGCGTGCTGCGTGGTACTGTGTGCGGCGTAGTGGCGGGGCGTTGTGGAGCGGGCGCGTTGCGGCTTGGGCGGGGAGGCGGGTGCGGGAGTGCGCGCGGTGCGGGAGTTTTGCGCGGTGCGGCGAGGGCCTTCGGGCGCCGCTTGCGGCTTTAATATATTTCTTTTCTTTTCTTCTTTTTCTTCTGCACATGAGCCTTTAAGTTGACCACCCCTGATCATGGCATGAACAAGTTTTAATTTTGCCCCAAATCAGACCCTGGCGAAAAATTGATATTTGTGTTTATTTTTATGCGACTCAAAAACTGCCAGAAACAGCGACACCGACAACAGCCAAAATAATAACCCCTAGGGAGTTTCTGAAGATCAATTTGTTTGTAGAGTCATGAAATTTCGGTACACATGTTCCTCAAGTCAAGACCAGAACAACAATATTATTATGGCTCACGCCCTCTGACAAACAGGAAAGGCCCATAAATGTCACGTGCACAAAGAAAAATGAAACAGCAAAAGTATTCTACATGTTGGGTTGGTAAGCGACTCCACCTCGGCCGTCTCACCGATTCGCCACAAAATCGCCCACATCATCCAACACATGTACCCTTCAATGAATGACCGCAGGGAGTTGGATCAGTGGAAACTTTGTTGAGGCAGCGGAGCGGCAAAATGTGACCTTTTTTTGGCCGTTTTTGACAACATTAAATTTGCTCCCTTGTGATTGGTTTGCAACAAAAAAGTCTGATTTCACAAAACTTTAAGACATTGTTGAACTCAAGTCATAGTCATTTGAAAGTTAACATGATTCAAATTGACACATTAGCGCCCCTACGACTATTTCAAAATTTTAAATGGGGCATTTCAAATTAGTTTTTCAAATGTTGAAATTTGCACATACATCATGTTTGAGTCCGCTCGTTGATTCAAAAAGTCAATTTGGTCCAAAGGCTTATTTTAACCCTGTTGCCGTGGCGACGACAAACGATCCCCATTCATTGCAAATGGTACACCTCACACAAACATCATACCAGCCCTCGGCCGTGATCACCGATTCGCCTGAAAATCGCTCCACATCATCTCAACATATGTGCCATCAAAAGACTCAGGAATTTTGATAAGTGAAAACGTTGTTTGAGCAGCAGAGCGCCAAAAGTGGCGTATTTTTGTTTCAGTTTTTTGGAAAATAGAAAATTTGCTCCGTTTGGCACATCAAACATAGTGTGATTGGCACAAAACTTGAATCCATCGGTTCAACTCTTGAGTCTAGGTCAAATTGAAAGTTTCAAATTTTGAAATTGGCGCTAGACGCCAAACCTTGGGAGGGTGGGGGGGGGGGGGGTGGGGGGGGGGGGGGGGGGGGGGGGGGTTCAGCCAATTTTAAAATGCCTAAGGGAGGTGTTCGAGGTCAAAAGTGCCGAGAAAAACCAAGGTAATTTGGTACATATGTTTCCTCAGTCAAAAGACATGGAAAAAATGTAATTATGGCTAATCCCTCCGACAAACAGAAGCCATAAAATTTCACTGCAAAATGGAAAAAATGATTATCAAATCATCTCTCATCACTCGGGGTTAGTAAAGCGACTCCCCATCGCAAGCCGATTTTACTGAATTGGCCACAAAATTGTTACAAATCATAGTCAACACATTTTACCTTGCAAAATGACGTCAGGGAATTTTGATCAGGGAAACGTTTGTTTAGCAGCGAGCGGCAAAATGTGAGGGTTTTTTTTTGGTGCCGATTTTGACAACATAACATTTTTTCCTTCCGCCGTTTGGCACAAACAAAGACGGATTTGCAATAAACTTGAATCCAGTGTTCTACTCCAGGGTTTTAGGTCAGTGAAAGGAAATATTTTAAAATTGGCCCATAATCGCCCCCTAAAGACAGAGTCAAAGTTTACATGGGAGCCAAACCCCGCTCTACTTCTCATATTCATTACAATTTGACTAACATTCATCTATGGCTACGGAACAAATCATCCACAACAAAAAAACGGCGCCACCACCCATCCTTTGAGCGGTGCTGGCGTGTACGTGTGTACGCGTAGTGCGGGGCGTTGTGGAGCGCCGCATTGGCGGCTTGGTGCGGGGCGAGCGTGAGGCCGGGACAGCAAATGGTGCAGGGCGGCGTGGTGCGGGGTGGCTTGGTGCGGGCGGCCGTGGAACGGGGTGGTGCGCGCGGTGCGGGGAGTCGCGCGGTGCGGGTGAGTTTGCGCGGTGCGGCCGAGGGCCCGTCTCGACGCCTGCTTGGCGGCTTTAATTATACTTGTTCTAGCCCAGGAAAAACCTGGGAAAGAACAAGATTTGCTGTTTTTTGATGTCATATTTGACCCACTGAACATCAACACGAAACTTACAAAATTTGCCACAAGTTTACTGTTCTTAGCAAACACTTTTATTAATTTGTGTTCCCAGTAAGAGACTTCATATTTCAAAGTTGTAGGGCGCAATTGTAGTCTAATAAATCCACCATTTGCACATACAAATCCGATTGCACAAATTTTAATTAGGTTGTTCAACTTTTGGGTTTGGGTAAACTGAAAGTGTATAACATCATATTGAGGCCTTTAGCGCCCCCTACAGAATGCATTTCAACACATGTTGGTTGGAAAGCGACTCCTCCCTCGGCCATTTTCACTGATTTGCCTTAAAATCGCTCCACATCGCTAAACACAGTCAACCATCATTTTGATTTCAGCGATTTTTGATCAGTGAAACGTTGTTTGAGTAGCGAAAACCGCCAAAAAGTGGCGTTTTTTTTTTAGTTGTTGAAGTATAGAAAAATTTCTTCGTTTACGTCAAGCCACAAAGTCCGATTGCCACAAAACTTGTTTTCATGGTTAAACTCTAGGGTGTATGTCCATTTGAAAGTGAAATAATAAGCATGCCAGAACAGCGCCCCCTACAACACCAATTTAATACACCTATGGAGAGTTGTTGGAGTTCAGTTTGCGTAAGCCATGAAATTTGGTACACATAATTCCTCAGGTAAGACATAAAAAATGTTATTATGTCCACCCGCCTCTGACATACAGGGAGCCATCAATTTCACTGCAAAATGGATAAACGAACAACAATAATTTTCACACATTTCCGTATTGGGAATCTACTCCTCGCTCGGCGTCTCGTTTCCACAGATTCGCCTGAAAAATCGTCTCCACGATCAATTTCAACACATTTACCTTCAAAAATGACTTCAGGGAATTTTTATCAGGGAAATGATGTTCAGAGCAGTGGAGCGGCAAATAAGTGACCTTTATTGACATAGAAAAAATAACCTCTCGTTTGCACAAACAAAGTTTGATTTTTACTAAACTTGACCCCAGTTGTTCGTACTCCTGGCCTGGGTCACCTGAAGGTGAAAAATATAACATTTGCTCTTTATCCCCCCTACATACCGAGCTAAAGCTTTTACAATGGGGAGCCAAACAACGGATCAATAGCCATACAGTGTCTATGCTATGGATAGCAAAATCAGGCCGCGCGCCACTGCGGCACGCGAGTCACGCGGGGGAGTCACGGGGAGGGGAAGTGCGGGTTCGGGCGAGTTGCGCGGGGACGGGAATTGTAGCGGTGCGGGGAGTCGTAGTGCTGCGGGGGATCGTAAGTGGAGCGGAGAGTCGTAGCGGAGCGGGAGTCTAGCGGCGCGCGGTGCAGGAGTCGTAGCGTGCGGGGGATTCGGACCGTGCGGGGAGTCGTAGCGGTTGCGGGAGGTCGTAGCGGTGCGGGGATGCGTAGAGCGGTGCGGGAATGCTGCGGTGCGGGAGTCGTAGCGGTGCCAGTGGCGGGGAGTCGTAGCGGAGCGAGTGCGGGGATCGTAGCGGGACTGGGGAGTCGTAGCGGAGCGGAGTCGTAGCGGATCGGGCAAGGCGCGTGGGGGTGGGCGGGGTGTCGGGCGGTGTGGCGAGGCCGTTCGACGCCGCTTGGCGGCTTTAAATAACTTGTTCTAGCCCAGGAATACCTGGAAAGAACAAGTTTGCTGTTGTTTGATGTCATAATTTTTGACCCACTGAACATGGCCAACGAAACTACAAAAAATGTGCCACAAAGTTCTGTGCCTTGCAAACACTTTTATTAATTTTTGTGTTTCCTAGTAAGATACTACAAATTTGATTTGTGTAGGGGCCGCAATTAGTAGTCCAATAAAGCCACCGTTTGACATACAAAGTCCAGATTTGCACCGCAAATTGATCGTTTGTTTCAACTTTTGGTTTGGGTAAACTGATAGTGTAAAAACATCAAATTGCAGCAGTAGCGCCCCCTACAGAATGTCATTTGCACAGATTTTGGTTGGCAAGCGACTCCTCCTTAGCCGTTTCATGCATCAGATTTGCCCTTAAAATCGCTCCACATGGTCTAAACACATTACCATCATTTTGATTTCAGCGAATTTTGATCAGTGAAAGTTGTTTGGCAGCGAAGCGGCCAAATAGTGGCGTTTTTTTCTTCAGTTTTTTGACAATAGAAAAATTACTTCCGTTTACCAAACTAGGCCGATTTTGCACAACACTTTGTTTCCATGGTTAAAACTCTAGGTCTGTAGTCATCGTGAATTTGAAATAATCATTGCCAGAACAGCGCCTCCCTACAACACCATTTATATACTCCTATGAGAGTTTTTTGAGTCAAGTTTTTGTTGTAGAGCCAGCGAAATTTGGTACACATGTTCCACAAGGTAAGACATGAATTATTTTTATTCTGGCCACAGCCCTCTGACAAACGGGGAGCCCATAAATTTCACTGCAAATGGATAAATGGAACAGCAATAATTATCACACATGTCGTTTGGAAAGCGACTCCACCTCGAACCGTTTCACAGATTTGCCTGAAAATCGCTCCAGATCGTCTCAACACATGTACCCTTCAAAATGACTTCAGGGAATTTTTATCCATGAAACAATGTTTCGAGCATCGGAGCGCAAATAGTGGACCTTTTTGGCTAGATAAAAATAGCTCTCGTGTGATCAACAAAGTTTGATTTGTACTTAAGTGACCCGATTGTTCTACCTTCCTGGGCCTGGGTCACCTGAAAGTGTGGAAACTATTAACATTGGCTCTTAAAAGCGCCCCCAACATACCGAGCTAAAGATTTACATGGGGATCCACACCGACGATCACATTATCAAACATTGTTCTATGGCTACGATAGCAAATCAGGCGCGGCGGCGCCCACCCTGCGGACGGCGAGTCACGCGGGGAGTCACGGGGAGGGGAATCGCGAGTTGAGGCGATTGCCGTGGTGCGGGGAGTTGTAGCGTGCACGGAGTCGTAGCGGTGCGGGAGTCGTAGTGACACGCAGTCGGAAGTTGTAGCCGGAGCCGGGAAGTCGTAGCGAGCGGGGAGTCGTAGCGAGCAGGCAGCGTAGCGGAGGCGTGCAATCGTAGCGGCGCGCGTGCGGGGAGAACGTACGGCGGGGATCGAGCGGTGCGGGATCGTAGCGGTGCGGGGAGTCGTAGCGGTGCGGGGAGTCGTAGCGGTGCGGGGAGTTGTTGCGGTGCGCGGTGGCGGAGAGTCGCAGCGGAGCTGGGGAGTCGATCGGCAGCGCGGTGCGGGGAGTTGCAAGCGGGAGCGGGGAGTTTGTACGAGCAACGGTGCGGGAGTCACACAGCGGAAGGACGGGACTCGTAGCGCGGAGCGGGGGGTCGCGGCGGTGCGGGGAGTCGCGCGTGCGCGAGGGCCCGTTCGTACGCCGCTTGCGGCTTTAATTTCTTTCTTTCTTTTTTCTTTCTTTCTTTTTTCTTTCTTTCTTTTTCTTCTGCACTTGAGCCTTAATTTACCCCCTGAACATGGCATGAAAAGTGTTAAATTTTGGGCCCAAAAATCAACCTGGCGTAAAATTTTGATATTTTGGTGTTTTTTTTATGGACTTCAAAATGCCAGAACAGCGCCACCTACAACACCACAATAATACCCCTAGGGATTTCTGAGGAGCAAGTTTGTTGTAGATCATGAAAATTCGGTACACCATGTTCGGCAAGTCAAGACAAGAATAATATTATTATGGCTCCCGCCCTCTGACAAACAGGATCCCATAAATTTACTGCAAAATGGAAAAATGGAACAGCAAAAAGTAATTACATTCATTCGGTTGGAAAAGCGACTCTCCGCCTCTGGCCGTTTCACACCGCGTTCGCCTCATAATCGCTCCACATCATCTCTACTCATGAACCTTCAAAATGACCTCCAGGATTTTTTGATCATATGAAACATTGTTTGTGCAGCGAGCGCCAAATGTGACCTTTTTGGGCCGTTTTGTTGACAACATAAAGTGCTCCCACTTTGTGCACAAACAGAATTCTGATTTGCAAAAAACATTTATACATTGTTCAACTCTAGGGTCTAGGTCGTTTTAAAGTGAATAATTCAATTGACACATAAGCGCCCCCTAACAACTATTTCAAAGTTTTTAGATGGGCATTTTCAAATTTAAGTTTTTTCAAAATGTTTGAAATTTTGCTCATAAATCTGTTTTTCCCTCTTGATTCAAAAAGTCAATTGGGTCCAAGGGTTTATTTTTTACCCTGTTGCGTGGCGACGAGAAACGCTCCCCATTCATTGCAAATGGTACACCTCCACAAACATCAAACCATCCTCGCTGTTTCACCGATTCGCCCAAAATCGCCTCCACATCAATCTCAACACAAGTACCTTCAAATGACGTCAGGGAATTTTGGATCCGTGAAACGCGGTTTGAGCAGGCGGCAGCGGGCAAAATGTAATGGTTTTTTTTGGCTCCTTTTTTGACAACATAATTTTGCTCCAGTTTGCACAAACAAAGTCTATTTGCAACAAAACTTTTCATCCATTGTTAATTCCAGGGTTAGGTCAGGTTAAAGATGAAATTAATTGGGAAAGCGGCCCCTTAGTCGCCCCCTACAGACAGTGTCAAAGTTTACATGGGATACCAAACCACTCTACTTATCATATTCATTACAATTTGAACTAACATTCCTTCTATGCTAAACGGAAACAAATCATTCACACGGCGGTGCTACCACTCCTTTTAGCGGATGCTGCGTGGTACGGTTGTGGTGGCGGGCGTAGTGCGGGCGTTGTGGGAGCCGCGCGTTGCGGCTTGGTGCGGGGGGGCGGCGTGGTGCGGGAGTGCGCGCGGTGCAGAGGTGTTGCAGCGTGCGGCGAGGCCGTTCGACGCCGCTTGCGGCTTAAATTAGGGACCCCGAGCCCCGAACGGGTAAGGGGTCCTATTGCGTTCCACAATGGTGAAAAACAAATGTGCGGGCGTGAACGGACGCGTCAGCGCCCGCCACTCCGCCAAAACGTGACTGATGCGTGGCCGTAAACTCAAAGCTTTAAAAATGATGTATCACTGCCATTGAATCCCTATATTGTTTTTGCTCGAGAACGCGAAAAAAAAAGCTTGTCTTTTTTATTCTTCTTCTTTCTTTCTTCTTTTTTCTTCCTGCACTTTGAGCCTTAATTATGACTCCCCCTGAATTATGCATGAAAAAGTTGTAAAACTTTTGGCCCAAAAATCAGACCTGGCTTTGATTATTTTGGTGGTTTTATTTTAATGGGACTCAAAAAATGACAGAACAGCGCCACCTACAACAGCCAAAACATAATACCCCTATGGGAGTTCTGAAGATGAAGTTTGTTGTAAAACATGAAAGTTCGTACACATGTTCTCTCAAGTCCAAGACAAGAAAAAATATATTATGGCTTTCCGCCCTCTGACAAACAGGAAGAGCCCATAAATTTCACTGCAAATGGAAAAAAATGAACAGCAAAAGTTTCATACATGTCGGGTTGGAAAGCGACTCCCTCCTCAGCCGTTTCACCGATTCGCCTCAAAATCGCTCCACATCAGTCTCCGCTGCTCAAACAATGTTTCACTGATCAAAAATCCCTGAGGTCATTTTGAAGGTACATGTGTTGAGATGATGTGGAGCGATTTTGAGGCAGAATCGGTGAAACGGCCGAGGAGGAGTCGCTTTCCAACCGACATGTATGAAAACTTTTGCTGTTCATTTTTCCATTTTGCAGTGAAATTTATGGGCTTCCTGTTTGTCAGAGGGCGGGGCCATAATAATATTTTTTTCTTGTCTTGACTTGAGGAACATGTGTACCAAATCTCATGTTTCTACGACAAACTTGACCTCCGAAAAGTCCCATAGGGGTATTATTTTGGCTGTTGTAGGTGGCGCTGTTCTGTCATTTTTTGAGTCCCATAAAAATAAACACCAAAATATCAAATTTTTCGCCAGGTCTGATTTTTGGGCCAAAATTAACAACTTTTCATGCATGTTCAGGGGGTCAAATTAAGGCTCAAAGTGCAGAAGAAAAAAGAAAGAAAGAAATAAATAAATTAAAGCCGCAAGCGGCGTCGAACGGCCCTCGCCACACCGCGCGACACCCCGCACCACGCGCCTTGCCGCTCCGCTACGACTCCCCGCTCCGCTACGACTCCCCGCTCCGCTACGACTCCCCGCTCCGCTACGACTCCCCGCTCCGCTCGACTACGACTCCCCGCTCCTGCGCCGCTACGACTCCCCGCTCGCTACGACTCCCCGCACCGCGCCCGCTACGACTCCCGCACCGCGCCCGCTACGACTCCCCGCACTCCGCTACGACTCCCGCACCGCTACACTCCCCGCACCGCTACGACTCCCCGCACCTCTACGACTCCCCGCACCGCGCGCCACTACGACTCCCCGCTCCGCTACGACTCCCCGCTCCGCTACGACTCCCTGCACCGCGCGCTTCTACGACTCTCCGTTCCGCTACGACTCCCCGCACCGCTACGACTCTCCGCAGCGCTACAACTCCCCGCAGCACTACGACTCCCCGCACCGCTACGATTCCCCGTACCGCGCAACTCACTGCAACTCGCCGCAACCCGCAATTCCCCTACCCGTGACTCCCCGCGTGACTCGCCGCTCCGCAGGTGGCGCCGCCGCGCCATGATTTGCTACCATAGCCATAGACCAATGTATGTGATATTGATCCGTTGGTTTGGCTCCCCATGTAAAGCTTTAGCTCGGTATGTAGGGGGCGCTAAAGAGCCAATGTAATATTTTACACCTTCAGGTGACCCAGGCCCAGGAGTAGAACAACCGGGTCAAGTTTAGTACAAATCAAACTTTGTTTGTGCAAACGAGAGCTATTTTTCTATCGTCAAAAAAGGTCACTATTTGCCGCTCCACTGCTCGAACATCGTTTCCCTGATAAAAATTCCCTGAAGTCATTTTGAAGGTAAATGTGTTGAAATGATGTGGAGCAATTTTCAGGCGAATCTGTGAAACGGCCGAGGAGGAGTCGCTTCCCAAACGACATGTGTGAAAATTATTGCTGTTCGTTTATCCATTTTACAGTGAAATTTATGGGCTCCCTGTCTGTCAGAGGGCGGGGCCATAATAACATTTTTTTCATGTCTTACCTTGAGGAATATGTGTACCAAATTTCATGGCTCTACGGCAAACTTGAACTCCAAAACTCTCATAGGAGTATTAAATTGGCTGTTGTAGGGGGCGCTGTTCTGGCATTTTAATTATTTCACTTTCAAATGACCTACACCCTAGAGTTTAACCATGAAAACAAGTTTTGTGCAAATCGGACTTTGTTTGAGTAAACGGAAGTAATTTTTCTATAGTCAAAAACTAAAAAAAAAAACGCCACTTTTTGGCGCTTCGCTGCTCAAACAACGTTTCACTGATCAAAAATCGCTGAAATCAAAATGATGGTACATGTGTTTAGACGATGTGGAGCGATTTTAAGGCAAATCAGTGAAAAGGCCGAGGAGGAGTCGCTTTCCAACCAACATGTGTGAAAATGACATTCTGTAGGGGGCGCTAATGCCTCAATTTGATGTTTTACACTTTCAGTTTACCCAAACCCAAAAGTTGAACAACCAATTCAAATTTGGTGCAAATCGGACTTTGTATGTGCAAATGGTGGCTTTATTAGACTACAATTGCGCCCCCTACAACTTCAAATTTGAAGTCTCTTACTAGGGAACACAAAATTAATAAAGTGTTTGCAAGAACAGAACTTGTGGCAAAATTTTGTAAGTTTTCGTGCATGTTCAGTGGGTCAAATATGACATCAAACAACAGCAAACTTGTTCTTTCCCAGGTTTTCCTGGGCTAGAACAAGTATAATTAAAGCCGCAAGCGGCGTCGAACGGCCCTCGCCGCACCGCGCGCACTCCCCGCACCATGCCGCCCGCACCAAGCCGCCCTGCACCATGCCGTCCCGCACCACGCCGTCCCGCACCACGCCGCCCCGCACCAAGCCGCACCAAGCCGCACCAAGCCGCAACGCGCCGCTCCACAACGCCGCGCACTACGCCGCAGCACACCGTACCACGCAGCACCGCTAAAAGGAGGTGGCACCGCCGTGTGATGATTTGTTTCCGTAGCCATAGAAGAATGTTAGTCAAATTGTAATGAATATGATAAGTAGAGCTGGTTTGGCTCCCCATGTAAACTTTGACACAGTCTGTAGGGGGCGCTAATGGGCCAATTTCCAATATTTCACTTTAACCTGACCTAAACCCTGGAATCGAACAATGGATTAAAGTTTTGTGCAAATCAGACTTTGTTTGTGCAAACAGGAGCAAAATTAATGTTGTCAAAAAGAGCCAAAAAAAATCCTCACATTTTGCCGCTCCGCTGCTCAAAGAACGTTGCACGGATCAAAATTCCCTGAAGTCATTTTGAAGGTACATGTGTTGAGATGATGTGGAGCGATTTTGAGGCGAATCGGTGAAACGGCCGAGGCTGGTTTGATGTTTGTGTGAGGTGTACATTTGCAATGAATGGGGAGCGTTTGTCGTCGCCACGGCAACAGGGTAAAAAATAAGCCTTGGACCCAATTGACTTTTTGAATCAAGAGGGCAAAACAGATTTATGTGCAAAATTTCAAACATTTTGAAAAAACAAATTTGAAAATGCCCATCTAAAACTTTGAAATAGTCTGTAGGGGGCGCTAATGTGTCAATTTGAATTAATTCACTTTCAAATGACCTAGACCCTAGAGTTGAACAATGTATTAAAGTTTTGTGCAAATCAGACTTTGTTTGTGCAAACGGGAGCAAATTTAATGTTGTCAAAAACGGCCAAAAAAAGGTCACATTTTGCCGCTCCGCTGCTCAAACAATGTTTCACTGATCAAAAATCCCTGAGGTCATTTTGAAGGTACATGTGTTGAGATGATGTGGAGCGATTTTGAGGCGAATCGGTGAAACGGCCGAGGAGGAGTCGCTTTCCAACCGACATGTATGAAAACTTTTGCTGTTCATTTTTCCATTTTGCAGTGAAATTTATGGGCTTCCTGTTTGTCAGAGGGCGGGGCCATAATAATATTTTTTTCTTGTCTTGACTTGAGGAACATGTGTACCAAATTTCATGTTTCTACGACAAACTTGACCTCCGAAAAGTCCCATAGGGGTATTATTTTGGCTGTTGTAGGTGGCGCTGTTCTGGCATTTTTTGAGTCCCATAAAAATAAACACCAAAATATCAAATTTTTCGCCAGGTCTGATTTTTGGGCCAAAATTAACAACTTTTCATGCATGTTCAGGGGGTCAAATTAAGGCTCAAAGTGCAGAAGAAAAAAGAAAAAAGAAAGAAAGAAATAAATAAAAAAGGAATTTTTTTTTTAACGTCTCGAGCAAAAACAATATAGGTTTCAATGGCACGTGATACATCATTTTAAAGCTTTTGAGTTTACGCACGCAACCGTCACGTTTTGGTGAGTGACGGGCGCTGACGCGTCCGTCACGCACCGCCACCATTTGTTTTCACCATTGTGAAAGCAATAGGCCCTTACCCCGTTCGGGGCTCGGGCCTAATTAAAGCCGCAAGCGGCGTCAAACGGCCCTCGCCGCACCGCGCGACTCCCCGCACCGCGCGCACCACCCCGTTCCACGCCGCCCCGCACCAAGCCACCCCGCACCACGCCGTCCCGCATCACGCCGCCCCGCACCAAGCCGCCCCGCACCAAGCCGCCCCGCACCAAGCCGCCCCGCACCAAGCCGCCCCGCACCAAGCCGCCCCGCACCAAGCCGCAACGCACCGCTCCACAACGCCCCGCACTACGCCGCACCACACCGTACCACGTAGCACCGCGCATAGGATGTGGCGCCGCCGTGTGATGATTGGTTCCCGTAGCCATAGAAGAACTTAGTCAAATTGTAATGAATATGATTATTAGAGCTGGTTTGGCTCCCCATGTAAACTTTGAATCAGTCTGTAGGGGGCGCTAATGGGCCAATTTCAAATATTTCACTTTCACCTGACCTAAACCCTGGAGTTGAACAATGGATTCAAGTTTAATGCAAATCAGTCTTTGTTTGTGCAAACGGGGAAAAAATTTATGTTGTCAAAAACAGCCAAAAAAACCCTCACATTTTGCCGTTCCGCTTCTCAAACAACGTTTGACTGATTAAAATTCCCTGAAGTAATTATGAAGGTAAATGTGTTGAGATGATTTGGAACAATTTTGAGGCCAATCGGTGAAACGGCCGAGGAGGAGTCGCTTTCCAACCAACGTTTATGAAAATGATTGGTTTTCATGTTTCCATTTTGCAATGAAATTTATGGGCTTCCTGTTTGTCAGGGGGCTTAGCCATAATAACATTTTTCCCATGTCTTGACTTAAGGAACATGTGTTCCAAATTACATGGTTCTACGACAATTTTGACCTCAAACCCCTCCCATAGGCATTTTTAATATGGCTGTTGTAGGTGGCGCTATAGAGCCAATTTCAGAATTTTAACTTTCAAATGACCTAGACCCAAGAGTTGAACCATGGATTCAAGTTTTGTGCAAATCAGACTTTGTTTGTGCAAACGGAAGCAATTTTTCTATGGTCAAAAACTGAAAAAAAATACGCCACTTTTTGGCGCTCCGCTGCTCAAACAACGTTTCACTGATCAAAATTCCCTGAAGTCATTTTGATGGTACATGTGTTGAGATGATGTGGAGCGATTTTGAGGCGAATCGGTGAAACGGCCGAGGCTGGTTTGATGTTTGTGTGAGGTGTATATTTGCAATGAATGGGGAGCGTTTGTCGTCGCCACGGCAACAGGGTAAAAAATAAGCCTTGGACCCAATTGACTTTTTGAATCAAGAGGGCAAAACAGATGTATGTGCAAAATTTCAAACATTTTGAAAAAACTAAATTTGAAAATGCCCATTTAAAACTTTGAAATAGTCTGTAGGGGGCGCTAATGTGTCAATTTGAATCATTTAACTTTCAAATGACCTAGACCCTAGAGTTGAACAATGTATTAAAGTTTTGTGAAAATCAGACTTTGTTTGTGCAAACGGGAGCAAATTTAATGTTGTCAAAAACGGCCAAAAAAAGGTCACATTTTGCCGCTCCGCTGCTCGAACAATGTTTCACTGATCAAAAATCCCCGAGGTCATTTTGAAGGTACATGTGTTGAGATGATGTGGAGCGATTTTGAGGCGAATCGGTGAAACGGCCGAGGAGGAGTCGCTTTCCAACCGACATGTATGAAAACTTTTGCTGTTCATTTTTCCATTTTGCAGTGAAATTTATGGGCTTCCTGTTTGTCAGAGGGCGGAGCCATAATAATATTTTTTTCTTGTCTTGACTTGAGGAACATGTGTACCGAATTTCATGACTCTACAACAAACTTCATCTTCAGAACTCCCATAGGGGTATTATTTTGGCTGTTGTAGGTGGCGCTGTTCTGGCATTTTTTGAGTCCCATTAAAATAAACACCAAAATATCAAATTTTTCGCCAGGTCTGATTTTTGGGCAAAATTTAACAACTTTTCATGCATATTCAGGGGGTCAAATTAAGGCTCAAAGTGCAGAAGAAAAAAGAAAGAAAGAAAGAAAGAAAGAAATAAATTAAAGCCGCAAGCGGCGTCGAACGGCCCTCGCCACACCGCGCGACACCCCGCACCACGCGCCTTGCCGCTCCGCTACGACTCCCCGCTCCGCTACGACTCCCCGCTCCGCTACGACTCCCCGCTCCGCTACGACTCCCCGCTCCGCTACGACTCCCTCACCGCGCTCCGCTACGACTCCCCGCACTGCGCTCCGCTACGACTCCCCGCACCGCTACGACTCCCCGCACCGCTACGACTCCCCGCACCGCTACGACTCCCCGCACTCGCCTCCGCTACGACTCCCCGCACCGCTACGACTCCCCGCACCGCTACGACTCCCCGCACCGCGCGCCACTACGACTCCCCGCGCGCCACTACGACTCCCCGCTCTGCTACGACTCCCCGCACCGCTACGACTCCCCGCACCGCTACGACTCCCCGCACCGCTACGACTCTCCGCAGCGCTACGACTCTCCGCAGCGCTACGACTCCCCGCAGCACTACGACTCCCCGCACCGCTACGATTCCCCGTACCGTGCAACTCACTGCAACTCGCCGCAACCCGCAATTCCCCTCCCCGTGACTCCCCGCGTGACTCGCCGCTCCGCAGGTGGCGCCGCCGCGCCATGATTTGCTACCATAGCCATAGACCAATGTATGTGATATTGATCCGTTGGTTTGGCTCCCCATGTAAAGCTTTAGCTCGGTATGTAGGGGGCGCTAAAGAGCCAATGTAATATTTTACACCTTCAGGTGACCCAGGCCCAGGAGTAGAACAACCGGGTCAAGTTTAGTACAAATCAAACTTTGTTTGTGCAAACGAGAGCTATTTTTCTATCGTCAAAAAAGGTCACTATTTGCCGCTCCACTGCTCGAACATCGTTTCCCTGATAAAAATTCCCTGAAGTCATTTTGAAGGTAAATGTGTTGAAATGATGTGGAGCAATTTTCAGGCGAATCTGTGAAACGGCCGAGGAGGAGTCGCTTCCCAAACGACATGTGTGAAAATTATTGCTGTTCGTTTATATCCATTTTACAGTGAAATTTATGGGCTCCCTGTCTGTCAGAGGGCGGGGCCATAATAACATTTTTTTCATGTCTTACCTTGAGGAATATGTGTACCAAATTTCATGGCTCTACGGCAAACTTGAACTCCAAAACTCTCATAGGAGTATTAAATTGGCTGTTGTAGGGGGCGCTGTTCTGGCATTTTAATTATTTCACTTTCAAATGACCTACACCCTAGAGTTTAACCATGAAAACAAGTTTTGTGCAAATCGGACTTTGTTTGAGTAAACGGAAGTAATTTTTCTATAGTCAAAAACTAAAAAAAAAAACGCCACTTTTTGGCGCTTCGCTGCTCAAACAACGTTTCACTGATCAAAAATCGCTGAAATCAAAATGATGGTACATGTGTTTAGACGATGTGGAGCGATTTTAAGGCAAATCAGTGAAAAGGCCGAGGAGGAGTCGCTTTCCAACCAACATGTGTGAAAATGACATTCTGTAGGGGGCGCTAATGCCTCAATTTGATGTTTTACACTTTCAGTTTACCCAAACCCAAAAGTTGAACAACCAATTCAAATTTGGTGCAAATCGGACTTTGTATGTGCAAATGGTGGCTTTATTAGACTACAATTGCGCCCCCTACAACTTCAAATTTGAAGTCTCTTACTAGGGAACACAAAATTAATAAAGTGTTTGCAAGAACAGAACTTGTGGCAAAATTTTGTAAGTTTTCGTGCATGTTCAGTGGGTCAAATATGACATCAAACAACAGCAAACTTGTTCTTTCCCAGGTTTTCCTGGGCTAGAACAAGTATAATTAAAGCCGCAAGCGGCGTCGAACGGCCCTCGCCGCACCGCGCGACTCCCTGCACCGCGCGCACTCCCCGCACCACGCCGCCCTGCACCACGCCGTCCCGCACCACGCCGTCCCGCACCACGCCGTCCCGCACCACGCCGTCCCGCACCACGCCGTCCCGTACCAAGCCGCAACGCGCCGCTCCACAACGCCCCGCACTACGCCGCACCACACCGTACCACGCAGCACCGCTCAAAGGAGGTGGCGCCGCCGTGTGATGATTTGTTCCCGTAGTCATAGAAGATTGTTAGTCAAATTTATGAATATGATAAGTAGAGCTGGTTTGGCTCCCGATGTAAACTTTGGCTCAGTCTTTAGGGGGCGCTAATGGGCCAATTTCAAATATTTCACTTTCACCTGACCTAAACCCTGGAGTTGAACAATGGATTCAAGTTTAATGCAAATCAGACTTTGTTTGTGCAAACGGGAAAAAAATTATGTTGTCAAAAACGGCCAAAAAAACCCTCACATTTTGCCGCTTCGCTGCTCAAACAACGTTTCACTGATCAAAATTCCCTGAAGTCATTTTGAAGGTAAATGTGTTGAGATGATTTGGAACAATTTTGAGGCCAATCGGTGAAACGGCCGAGGAGGAGTCGCTTTCCAACCGACATGTATGAAAATGATTATTTTTCATTTTTCCATTTTGCAGTGAAATTTATGGGCTTTCTGTTTGTCAGAGGGCTTAGCCATAATAAAACAAGTTCAATGTCTTGACTTGAGGAACATGTGTTCCAAATTACATGGTTCTATGACAATTTTGACCTCGAACCCCTCCCATAGGCATTTTTAAATCGGCTGTTGTAGGTGGCGCTATAGAGCCAATTTCAAAATTTTAACTTTCAAATGACCTAGACCCAAGAGTTGAACCATGGATTTAAGTTTTGTGCAAATCAGACTTTGTTTGTGCAAACGGAAGCCATTTTTCTATTGTCAAAAACTGAAAAAAAATACGCCACTATTTGCCGCTCCGCTGCTCAAACAACGTTTCACTGATCATAAATCCCTGAGGTCATTTTGACGGTACATGTGTTGAGATGATGTGGAGCGATTTTGAGGCAAATAGGTGAAACGGCCGAGGCTAGTTTGATGTTTGTGTGAGGTGTACATTTGCAATGAATCTGGAGCGTTTGTCGTCGCCACGGCAACAGGGTAAAAAATAAGCCTTGGACCCTATTGACTTTTTGAATCAAGAGTGCAAAACAGATTTATGTGCAAAATTTCAAACATTTTGAAAAAACTAAATTTGAAAATGCCCATCTAAAACTTTGAAATAGTCTGTAGGGGGCGCTAATGTGTCAATGTGAATCATTTAACTTTCAAATGACCTAGACCCTAAAGTTGAACAATGTATTAAAGTTTTGTGCAAATCAGACTTTGTTTGTGCAAACGGGAGAAATTTAATGTTGTCAAAAACGGCCAAAAAAAGGTCACATTTTGCCGCTCCGCTGCTCAAACAATGTTTCACTGATCAAAAATCCCTGAGGTCATTTTGAAGGTACATGTGTTGAGATGATGTGGAGCGATTTTGAGGCGAATCGGTGAAACGGCCGAGGAGGAGTCGCTTTCCAACCGACATGTATGAAAACTTTTGCTGTTCATTTTTCCATTTTGCAGTGAAATTTATGGGCTTCCTGTTTGTCAGAGGGCGGAGCCATAATAATATTTTTTTCATGTCTTGACTCAAGGAACATGTGTACCAAATCTCATGTTTCTACGACAAACTTGACCTCCAAAAAGTCCCATAGGGGTATTATTTTGGCTGTTGTAGGTGGCGCTGTTCTGGCATTTTTTGAGTCCCATAAAAATAAAAACACCAAAATATCAAATTTTTCGCCAGGTCTGATTTTTGGGCCAAAATTAACAACTTTTCATGCATGTTCAGGGGGTCAAATTAAGGCTCAAAGTGCAGAAGAAAAAAGAAAGAAAGAAATAAAAAAGGAATTTTTTTTTAACGTCTCGAGCAAAAACAATATAGGTTTCAATGGCATGTGATGCATCATTTTAAAGCTTTTGAGTTTACGCACGCAACTGTCACGTTTTGGTGAGTGACGGGCGCTGACGCGTCCGTCACGCACCGCCACCATTTGTTTTCACCATTGTGAAAGCAATAGGCCCTTACCCCGTTCGGGGCTCGGGCCTAATTAAAGCCGCAAGCGGCGTCAAACGGCCCTCGCCGCACCGCGCGACTCCCGCACCGCGCGCACCACCCGTTCCACGCCGCCCCGCACCAGCCCCCGCACCACGCCGTCCCGCACACGCCCGCACGCCGCCCCGCACCAGCCGCACCAAGCCGCCCGCACCAAGCCGCCCCGCACCAAGCCGCAACGCGCCGCTCCACAACGCCCCGCACTACGCCGCACCACACCGTACCACGCAGCACCGCGCATAGGAGGTGGCGCCGCCGTGTGATGATTGGTTCCCGTAGCCATAGAAGAACTTAGTCAAATTGTAATGAATATGATTATTAGAGCTGGTTTGGCTCCCCATGTAAACTTTGAATCAGTCTGTAGGGGGCGCTAATGGGCCAATTTCAAATATTTCACTTTCACCTGACCTAAACCCTGGAGTTGAACAATGGATTCAAGTTTAATGCAAATCAGTCTTTGTTTGTGCAAACGGGGAAAAAATTTATGTTGTCAAAAACAGCCAAAAAACCCTCACATTTTGCCGTTCCGCTTCTCAAACAACGTTTGACTGATTAAAATTCCCTGAAGTAATTATGAAGGTAAATGTGTTGAGATGATTTGGAACAATTTTGAGGCCAATCGGTGAAACGGCCGAGGAGGAGTCGCTTTCCAACCAACGTTTATGAAAATGATTGGTTTTCATGTTTCCATTTTGCAATGAAATTTATGGGCTTCCTGTTTGTCAGGGGGCTTAGCCATAATAACATTTTTCCCATGTCTTGACTTAAGGAACATGTGTTCCAAATTACATGGTTCTACGACAATTTTGACCTCAAACCCCTCCCATAGGCATTTTTAATATGGCTGTTGTAGGTGGCGCTATAGAGCCAATTTCAGAATTTTAACTTTCAAATGACCTAGACCCAAGAGTTGAACCATGGATTCAAGTTTTGTGCAAATCAGACTTTGTTTGTGCAAACGGAAGCAATTTTTCTATGGTCAAAAACTGAAAAAAAATACGCCACTTTTTGGCGCTCCGCTGCTCAAACAACGTTTCACTGATCAAAATTCCCTGAAGTCATTTTGATGGTACATGTGTTGAGATGATGTGGAGCGATTTTGAGGCGAATCGGTGAAACGGCCGAGGCTGGTTTGATGTTTGTGTGAGGTGTATATTTGCAATGAATGGGGAGCGTTTGTCGTCGCCACGGCAACAGGGTAAAAAATAAGCCTTGGACCCAATTGACTTTTTGAATCAAGAGGGCAAAACAGATGTATGTGCAAAATTTCAAACATTTTGAAAAAACTAAATTTGAAAATGCCCATTTAAAACTTTGAAATAGTCTGTAGGGGGCGCTAATGTGTCAATTTGAATCATTTAACTTTCAAATGACCTAGACCCTAGAGTTGAACAATGTATTAAAGTTTTGTGAAAATCAGACTTTGTTTGTGCAAACGGGAGCAAATTTAATGTTGTCAAAAACGGCCAAAAAAAGGTCACATTTTGCCGCTCCGCTGCTCGAACAATGTTTCACTGATCAAAAATCCCCGAGGTCATTTTGAAGGTACATGTGTTGAGATGATGTGGAGCGATTTTGAGGCGAATCGGTGAAACGGCCGAGGAGGAGTCGCTTTCC